GCTGCATGCCTATTGGTTGATGCCCTGCATTCCATTCTGATGACTCATGCCCAAACGTGGTAAACAAGGCAGACTAACACAGTAATACATTTGCTATAACACAGCCAAAAAACTCAAATAAAACCATTCTAAAAGCCTGTATCACAATAATTTAAAAAACGCCTAGGGGTATTTGCCCACTGTACCTCCATACCAAATTTCAGGACCTTAGGCCCTAAAATGAAGAAGCTGAATCCATTTAAAGATATGGCAGGAGGAGGAGGAGGAGGAGAAGGAGAAGGAGAAGAAACATCAGAAAAAGCAATATGGTTTCACCACACCACTTCGTGGTGTGGTGAACCCATAACAACTGATTTTATGTGTGCTAAAGATGGAACTAGTGCGTTAGTAATATTTACATATATTCATTCCTGGCTATTACACAGTTTTAAACATGGTATACAAAATGTAACATAATGTCTACGAACCTGTAGCAAGCTATACCATTAAACATCATTCGCTTGTGCATGGCAAGAAAACATCAGAAATTGATTGCTAAATAATTATAGATTGACGAACCGTTGGTCGTTTTGCTGTAAACAAAACCTGCAACAACAAAAAATGTCACATTAAACGTTTGATTACTGTCAAAGGAGGAGGTGAAATATTCTACGGACGTCCAATGATGTTTAGCCTGATTAAATCGCTTTTGCCGGCCGCCCAACATCCAGCCGGCCCCCGAAAATCTTGGGTGGCGGACTATGTAGGGAGCCCCCCGGAGCTTGGGTTACATAGGCTAAATGATGTTGATATGAAACTTTATGAATCATTATTGCATATTCCTGTCCAGATGGACTAAATGCGCATATATGGTAGTACATAGCATGCAATTCATGAGTACAGAACAGTTCAATAACCATACTGTATTCTAATGCTAAATATTAAAATTCTATCTATTAAGATCGCACTGGGTACTATATACTATATTAGATGAAAAGTTTAAGGTGGAAGCGTGTCGTAATTTTACCTTAAATGTCCATTGAGTTGAAGAATAGTGGAGTTTCCCCCAAAACAGGGCAGTCAGTAGCCTGGTATCCAGTCTGGTTCGTGGTCGGGGCCGCAAGAGCTCTGGCCCGCCCGCCTCACATAAGCGTCCAGGTGTGTATTTCACGCGTGTTGGGGGAAACCAAATCCCCGAGCATACTGTCTCTAATTAGCGGAACACTCCTACCGGGACGGTCTATAGCACTGGGCGGGGGAAGGTCTTAGAGGCCCCGAAGACACAACCTGCCTAAACACCCCAATACCCCCAATCACG